GCTCCCGGCAAGCGGCCAGTGGTCGGGAGAGGAAGCCATGTGAAATCCTCAAACGTGAGAGGGTCCAATACCCTGTCTCTTATACACATCTAGATGTGTATAAGAGACAGGTCTAAATATAGGCTGTTCCCAAAACCCTGGTTCGGTGCCTGAGTTTCAGGGCCGGTCGTTCTGATGAACGACCGAAAATGGCCCTTGGGTTCAGGCTAAAAATGCTATTACCATTTTCAGTCTGAACCGTCGCAGGGGCTGTAGGCCCTGAAAGTCAGGCTTTCGGCCTGAACCGACATGGGGCCTATAAGCCCTGGATTTCAGGCTTTCGGCCTGAAATTCAGGCTTTTGGCCTGAAAACTGTCGGGCCTGCAAACTGGCCTGTGTGTGCACGCGCTGCATGTAACACCCCCCCTCCTTATGAAGCCAAGCCGGGGCGAGGGCGAAGCCGTCGATCTGAAGGTGGGACCTGGACGTGGGCGCGGCGTGGAGCCAAAGAAACCGGCTTGCCTTGCATCTTGCGTTCGTAGCGTGCGAGAACGTCTGGAGCTGTCGCTTGCAGTTCCGCACGGGTTAACCAACGGTCAGCTCGATGTGTGCAGTAGGCAAAATGCATCAAATACTCAGTTGGCTTGTTGTCGTAGCATCGCTGGGAGATGATGTCGCCGACCTCCTGAAAACTATCCATAGAAGGTGGGTCTTGCGTACGTCTCCCGGGAAAATCGTCATGTTCCGCTGGCGTGTACAGAGCCAATTTGGAACAATGAAACACTGGGTAGACGGGCAAGTGGCTAGGCACCTGAATCGTGAAGGAAGGTCCTTCAGGTGCGTCCCCAGCGGGCTCAATGATCGGCCAAGGCCCCATCCATTTCCGAAGGAGCTTGCGAGAGATGTCTTGTTCAAGGCTGAATTCCGCTGCTGAAACCCAGACGAGGTCCCCGGCGCGGAATGGACAAGGAAGACGCTGGCGATTTGCCTGCTGGCTCATGCGCTGCTGCGTCTTAGCCATCTTGTCGCGTGCCTTGACAAGAAGCTCTTGCATCCGACGCAAGAAAAGAAGATGGTCGTCGCTCTCGGCCGTGCTTGGAGTAATCGTGTCCAATGGTGACGTGACCGGCAAGCCGTGCTCGAACTCGAAGGGCGATATCCCAATAGCCGGGTGGATGGAAGAGTTGTAGGCCAACTCAACATCCGGCAGTCGCTCAACCCAGTCTTTCTGGTCGGGGCGGATGAGAGTGCGAAGGAGAACTTGTGCGGTCTGATGCGCCCTCTCCGTCTGGCCATCGGTCTGAGGGTGGCGAGCTGAACTGGGCTTGAGAGATGAGCCCCATCGCTTGATGAGCGCCAACCAAAAATCGGACATGAACCGAGTGTCGCGGTCGCARATGATCTCCTTGGGGTAACCCTTGGTGCGAATCCAACCGGCGTACAGAACCTCGGCCAACTCCGGTGCCTTGGCATGATAGCGACAAGGCAAAAACATGGCGAACTTGGTGAGTGGGTCAACCACCGTGAGAATCCCATCCACTCCGGTCTTGTGCTTGGGGAACGGGCCGGTGATGTCCATGGCAATCGCTTCCCTTCGCCTCAACGACACAAGCAATGGTCGTAACTCGCCGTACGGACGATGGTTGCGGGATTTGCAGCGTCGACAAACCTCGCATGACTCGCAATAGCGCGTGACGTCGCCGAGAAGGCCGGACCACCAAAATCGCTGGCGAAGTCGGCCAATCGTGCGATTGACTCCAAAATGTCCGGTAGCGGGAACATCGTGAAACTCGCCAAGAATCCAGGTACGCAAGTTGGATCACTTGGTACGCAAAGAAGGTCCTTCCCCCGCGTGTGGACAAGCAAGTACCCCTCTTGGATCCGGTAGTGAGAAGGAGCCGGATTAGGAGAGAAGCAATTCGCGTACTTGTCGCGAAAATCGGGCTCGGCTTGGTAGCCACGGATGAAGCTGTTCCGCAGGTCGTCGTCGATCTCGAAGGTCGAGTAGACCGCGGTACAGTGATCCGGACGCCGTGAGAGAGCATCTGCAAAACGGTTTGACTTCCCGGGAATCTGATCGGGGAAGAAGTCGAACTGGTCGATGAAAGCCATCCATGAAGCGATGATGCTGTTGACAGTGTCCTGGGTCTTGTAGAAGACCAACGGATTGTTGTCCGTTACCCAGCGAAATTGGCTTCGGCCAAGAAGGAAGTGCCGCCACCGCTTGAGCGCGTGGACGAAAGCGAGGAGCTCCTTCTTGCATGCATCGTCGATGGAATGCACGAGGGGCACTTTCTTGCAGAAGTACTCGACCGGGTGCCAGTCCACACCATCATGTTGCCCGAGGACTGCACCAATGCCATAGCCTGACGCATCCGTAGTGACACACGTAGGCGCGAGCGGGTCGTAGATTCGCAAGACCTCTGCAGACAATAGCGCGGCCTTGAGAGCGAGGAATGATCCCCGCGCCTCCTCTCCAAAGTCAAACGGCCGATCCTCGCACTGAAGCTTGTTCAAGTGGGCCGCGATCTTGGAGTAGCCTTTGATGAAGCGCTGATAGTAGCCGGTAAGACCGAGGAACGAGTGAACATCCGTGACGTTCCGAGGTTCCGGCCACTCCTGGACGGCCTGAATCTTGTCTGATAGGGGACTGATGCCCTCCGGTGTGACAATATGGCCCAAGTATTCCAGCTCCTGCCGCACAAATTCACACTTGTCGCGGTTGGCCTTGTACTTGGCGCGGCGGAGCGTCTCCAACACTCGTCGAA